TCAGCAAAGGTCAACCTTAGACTTTGACTGAAATGAAAGAAAATCAAACTATACTGTACCTGCACAAAGGGGTTTGCACACCAGGGTCCTCAGCAAGGTTGTTAGCGAAAGGTTGGTGAGGGTGGTTTTGAATATCACAAAGGTGAACAGAAACTACACATTTTTTTCAGTTCATCCAATAAGCAGTGATTGTGGGACTTATGTTTCACATGTGAAGAAGACATGTTCCCTGTAACTGAAAACACTTAGTGGTGTGTACAGGTTTCATTTGTAAATGTGTGTTCTACCTGTAACTGTTTATTGAGAAACTTTCATTACTGCAGATAAACCAAAGACAATGAAAAGAGCCGATAGGGAAGAGATATCAAATCAGTTTTCCAATGCATCAAAGGTAGTCCTTTTACAATAAATAGACATTCAGGAAGTGCTGTTGGCTTAGCCGGATTATTCTAAATTACCCATTAAGAATGGTAAAAATGAGAATGTGAATGTTTGTCTGTCTGTCTGTTAGCCCTGCGTGAGACTGGCGACCTGTCCAGGGTGTAGCCTCCCTGTCCTTCTACTGTAGCTGGGACGGGCTCCAGCCTCCTCGCGACCATGATAATCGGATAATCGGAAGATAATGGATGGATGGATGGAAAGAAGTATGTGTCTAATTTATTAATATGTAACCCTTAGTAAACACAAATTGCATTTGATGTCACTTCATGGCTGTTATTTAACCTACCTACCCAGATGCTGAGTGTTAAGAAAAGTCTGAGCAATAACTAGAACAGAAAAGTCAATAATGTGAATAAATGCACACTGATTTTGTGCGTGCTTGTTTGAGGGCATATGTCTGTGGTCACTTTGGTATTTTTTATCCTTATGAGACTGCTAAACTAACAACAAGAGCTTTTTTTTCTAAATAAATTCAGATTCAGACCTCTTTAAGTACCCCAGATATTTAATGATAGTCAGTTGTTTTGTAATTCTTTTATTTAGCTTGGATTTTTTTTTTTTTTTACGTGAAATGGTCCCTTTATTTAAGCAGCCATCAAGTTCTTAAGCTTTTTAATTCTAACAACTGAATACCCTGCACTATTTTTTTACTTTCTATTATGAATTTGAACTCTTAAACGGTTTTACATTGTATTTATTTTATATATTGTATCGTGTATATCCAGTATTAGACTGTATTCAGCTTTCTATTTTACCTTGCATTTATTTTATATATCATGTGTATTCCGTGTCATATAAACATATCATGTTTTCAGCTTTCTGTTTGTTTATGGTGTGTCTCAACCAAACGTGAACAGACCTCGGCCATACACCGTGGTTAGTCAGCCGTCAATCATTTCCAGAGCCCGCCCCCCAACGGCAGCACGTTTCTGCTATACCACTGATAAACTGGACAGTCCGGACAATTTTATACATCAAGTACGTGTTTTGTATTGTGATTTATTTAACACCGAAGTCTTTATCCTTATTTACAACCAAATTAGGATGATTAGCGACAGAAATGTAGATGGAATAAACCAGGAAACGAGTCGCTGAGAGCAGGTGCATGTCCATCCTGTAGCGCTCGCTAAGGTTTTGACAAATCGATGTTTATGTCGCGTTTTGTTGCATTCTAAAGTGATACGAGTCAACTTTATTGGCTCGTCATGGCGACGGTGGATAAATCTAGACAAATCTTGTCCCAGTGCGCTCTGACAAAGACGATGTAACGACAAATTGTGACCTGTCGTTGTCCCTTTGTACATTCAGTTAAATTTTGTTAACTTTACTGTTACTGCGTTTTACAGCCACCAGAGCCTTCATGAACCTCCTACTTTACAGCAGGAGGAACTAATTTAGGACTGCACTGTTTACCTCCGAGTGTTTTCGGTGTGTGTGTGTGTGTGTTCTGGAGAACTCGTGATGACGTGCTAGATAACTTGAATTTCCCTTTTTTATCCCTCTGTAAAGAATTGCCTGAGTACATCCCTACAATGGCCTCCACCTCATCAGTTGGGGATAAACAGTTGCAGAGGATAATCAGAGATCTGCATGGTAATCAAGCTCTCCACACATACAGCAAACCCCATATGTGCGTTACAGTAGATACAATATCATGCAATATCCATCA